AAGTGAGACAAGCAGAATAGAGAAAACGAGCACAAGATAGAAAAGGTTTACAGATTAGTGGTGCTAAAGCAAAAAGTACATCCCCTGAGGACTGGGGCCGTACCCATCATGGAAGTCCATTTATGCCAGGCTGGGGGCTTACATGTTATCCAGGTGATGAAGGAAAAGCCACTGAAGGCTTTTCATCAATGAAGGTCATTCCAAAACCTTCCACCGTTAACCCCAGTATGTGGCATCTCATCTTTGGGCAATAGTAGGAGCTACCCCTCCAGGAGCAAGGAGTTGGATTCCCCTTCTGTTAAGGCATTTCCATTCAAATAGCTTGTTCACCCACCTTCAGCTTGCCTACAGTGACCCAGGCAATTGACATCCTAAAATTTCTTCTTTTAATGCTGCGTTATGGAACTTCTTGCTTAAGCCCAATACATCAATGGACAGTGAAACATATCTCCTAAGCTCACTGCAATACATATATGAATGTCATTGCTCTTCTTTTCTTACAAAAATAGCAGAGCAATCTATTACATTTTATCCCTCACTGACTCTCATGGTTTCCCATTTATTTGTTCAATCTTTATAAATTGACTGATTAACAAACACAATAAACTAATTTGTTCTAAGGAATGGATGATCAATAATGGTTTACAATATTAACTCTTCCTAAATAATATATTTACATATTCATTACATTCTTCAATTTTCAACTCAAAGCAATCCTTAAAGAATGTCAACCACTTGGCAGGTCATTGGATAAGGAATCTGAGGCTGGACATTCCATCACACGTTCCTTCTATCTTACCATGTAGTATATGTCCCATACTCTGTTTATAGTCACAGTCAGAGTGGCTGAGTTTTCTCTGTCAGGATGTCTGTAAGGACTCATGGCAGCAATCTGCCATGGGGAAGATACTGACCTTCTGAAGATGGCTGAATTCAACCCAGATCTTGGCTTATTAAATTGACAATATCCACAAAAGAATTTCTGCAACTATGGGTTGCATTGCAAGCATATCTACCACTGGGATACTCAAGATATAAGATTACATTCATTACTAGGTTTATATTCTGGTCTCCTAATGTGACCTGCATCACTCAAAGTGACCACAAAATGACTTCAGAGGAGGTGTGCTCTTCCTTGCTGGAAGGGGACCAGAAGTTCAGGTAGGAAGATGTACGTCTTAGTGCATTCTGGCTGCTATAACTCCTATAACAAAATACTACAGTCTGGATAGCTTATAAACAACAGAAATTTATTTCTCACAGTTCTGGAGGCTAGAAGTGCCTGCATGGTTGAGTGAGGGCTCTCTTCTGTTGCAGAGATCTTGTTGTATCCTCTCATGGTGGAAGGAAGTGAGGGATCTATCTGGAACCTTTTTTATAAGGGCATTAATATCATTTATGAAGGCTCTGCTCTCAAGACCTAATCATCTCCAAAAGGCCCACCTCCTCAGGTTTAGTATTTCAAAGTATGAATTAGGCAAGGGACACAAACATTTAGATAATAAGAGGGTAGCAAGTAAACCTAAAGAGGTGAGAAATGAAAGATATCAAGGCCTTTTATCATTAGAGAGTTAGGGGTTTGGAAAGTACCAGAATTTCCTAGTTTACTGGTCCATATAGTGACACGAATTAACAGAATAGTTTTCTTCAATCTGCTAAACATTTCCATCTGAAGCTTCTTAATTTCTAAAATCTAAAAATTGCCTAGCAACCAAAGTAAATATATCCTAACTTAATTGATAAATGTGATTTTAATTTCACTTCAGTTATAAATGATTAAAAATACATTTAAGTAGCTAAAATCTTTATTAAAGCACTCTCTCTATATATACATATGTAATATAGATATGAACATTTATATATAATACATATATATTTTATAGATTCTCTTTATCTATTATATTATATATTGAGTGCAAACATATATATATTCAAGCCATTAAGAATTCCATAGATATATTATGTATATATGTATGTGTTATGTATATTTTACATATTATATAATGTATGATGTATATACATATATAATATGTATATGGAAATTTTAATGGTTTAAGCAGATATTTTCTTAGCCCACAATATACTTAAACTCAGATAAGTGATCTAGAAGAGTTCTCAAACTTGGCTTCAAATTTGAATCTTCTGGATATTCTTATTTAATAGAGTTGGCGTGCAACCTAGGCATCCGGGCTTTTAAAAACTTCCCAGTGATTCTTGTGCACAGCCGAAGTTGAAATTACTGATCTAAATCATACTTCTACCTCCATAATAACACTATCAGTGACATATATCCATAATAACCCCATTAGTGACTGTATATCACATGTCTTCTTGTGATTTCATTATATTTTAAATTGTAAAATTCATCATCCTACTGCAAACATGACAGGCATGTATTTTCCTCTTCATTTAACAAATAAAGGAAACAAAGCTCTGAGAAATTAAGTAACTTGCTCAAGGTCACATGACTTGTTAAGTGGCAGAACTTGGAATCTAGGTGGGGTGGGTGCATTAACTGAAACTGGGGCCGTCTGATTCCATGCCCAATGCTGTTGCCAGCTTGTCACATGATGTCTTCTTTTCTGCAAACCCCTCAAGGTGTAAAATTAAAATTTTAAAGGCTGTGAGAGAAGATGATTCCACAACACAAAAATAACATTTTTTTTTTTATAATTCACATCTTTCCCATAACTTTTCTTGTGGCTGTTCAAACCCATTGGCTGGACCTCACCACATGTCCTACATGTTCAAGGCCATCTTGAATCTTGGAGATTTTCCTGGACAGGTCTATTTAGTGATCTCCACTCACAAGATCAAAGGACAAAGACATACTCATGTTCTTGGTCTGAGCCTTCCCTCATCATCCTCTACCTATCACCAACTCTTTTGATAAAAATTAAGCATCTGATTTTCCTCTGGTTTTCTGGAAGTCCTACATTCTTGTATTTTGGGTGACAATAGGAGGATGGAAGCACACTACTAGGTAAAAATAGCAGAGGGAAGTGTAAGGAAACATGAAAATATACTTAGCTGGTGTTAGGGATTGAATTGTGCCCCTCCCCCCCAAAAAAGAATATGTTGGAGTCCTAACTCCCAGGACCTCAGAATGTGACCTTATTTGGAGCCAGAGTCTCAGGTTAAAATGAAGTCATTAGTTTAGGCCTTAATTTAGTATTTCTGGTGTCTTTATAAAAAGGGGGAATTTGGGGGCACCTGGGTAGCTCTGTCATTAAGCGGCTGCCTTCGGCTCAGGGCATGATCCCAGGGTCCTGGGATCAAGCCCCATGTCAGGCTCCTTGCTCAGCAGGGAGCCTGCTTCTCCCTCTCCCCCTGATTGTGCTCTCTCTCTCACTATCTCTCTCTGTGTGTCAAATAAATAAATAAAATCTTTTTTAAAATTGGGGGGCGGAATTTGGATAGAGAGAGACACATAGAAGACAAGATGAAGAAACAGGGAAACATGGAGAAGATGTCTATTTACAAACCAAGGACAGAGGCCTGGAACAAAGCCTTCTCTCACGGCCCTCAGAAGGAAACAACCCCGCCAACACCTTGATCTCAGACTTGTAGCCTCCAGAACTACGGGACATTCAATTTCTGTTGTTTAAGCCACCCATTTTGTGGTACTTTGTTGTAGAATCCCTAGAACACTAATACAGCATGTGAGTACAAAGCAATCAGGCTCCAGGAGAGCAGCTGGATGGAGCTGATGTGCTCTGCTTAGAAAACATTAAAGGCAGGGAATGGGAGTCTCCAGGGAGGCCCCACAGAGCTCTGCATGTGTGGGACTCTCCCCCTGGATCACTGAAGGAAAAGGCTTCTTGTCTGAGCTGCCAGTATCTGGCTCTGCTTCCACCTGGGAGCAACTTAGTCTCCTTGTTGCCATGCCAATCAGGGAGGTCAGAAATTTCAGGTGCTCTCTCTCTTCTGCCAAAAGGTCACCATTTAAACTCTTTATCCATCAGGTAGGCTTGCTGTCTTAAAATTTCCATTCTAAAATGGACAAGCCATAATTTTCTCTTTTCCCCTAATTTCAAGGATGTAGTCTATTTCTACTGGCAGGAACACTTCTGTGAATCTTGAAAAATTCACCACAGTGTATTAGGGCAAGTTCACTAAGTAAACTTTGTTCTTTGTTATACACAGAAGGGTGATACTCCCTCAGGCTTTGAGCCAATAAATGCACTTCTTTCATTACCTGACATCACACACACACATCTCTCTTTGATTCTCTCCTGCCTGTTCGACCCTCCCCCATCACCTACCATACCACCACAGGTATTCCTGTGGGAGCTCAGGTGTCAGACTTCAGGCTGCTTATTTTATCACTATGTTGATGACAGGGCCATAGTTATTCATGTCTAGCTGCCTGAACAAAGGGAATAAACAACACATACCTTGTCCTTGTGTCCATAAAGCACAGAGACGTACAAGTATATAGGGCATCATGAGGGGTCATGATTGAGGCTTTCTGGGGGACCTCAGCAGCCGAGTACCCAGACTTCAAGGAGATGGAGTAATATTTATGATCTGATGAGATTCATGTACACAGTAACTATAAATATAGGTCATGTTTATAAAGTTCTCAAAGAAGGATGCATTTAAAATATTTATTGACTGGAACAAGAATAGTGGGGGGCATGCAAGCAGGAGAAGTTCTGCAAGAGTGTCAGCAGCCAGCACACTGAAGATGGCAGTGGTGACTTACTCTCTACCTCCTTCCTGTCTCCCATGAATGCCGACAGAACTTAGAATCACTATAGCCTAGAAGGAGTGGATAGCAGAAGTATTGAGTGTACCTGTGCCAAAGTCATTTGACGTTTATGCTAAATAAAAGAGCATTTTTCTTCTTTCTAGTCAGTTTTGGAGAAAGTTATAAAATTACATGAACATTCTCAAGAAGACAGCATTATGTAGACAAAGTTAAAAAAAAAAATGGGGCACCACAGGGCTGTATTGTGAATCTTGGCTCTACTGTTTTATTAAAGTCTGTGAAATTGGGCAATTTCTTTGATTAGTATTTTGGGGAAGGGAAAATAAGGGAAATAAGGGAAAATAGATTGATAAGTTATAAAAAAAAAAAGTATCCCCCATTCTTCTCTTCCAGTCTTTTCTCCCCTCTCTGAGCACATGGGCATGACGATAAATCTAATCATCCAAATGAAATGAACAATTGTCTGTAAAAAAAAAAAAATTACCAAGTTTTTCTTCAGAAAACAATTTAGGAGTTTTCTAACTTTTTCACTGGCTGACTTAGATGCAGTGCATTCCTGCTCTCCTTCCATACTTGATTCTCCTCCATACCTTCTTACCTCCATTTTATACTTACCTCCTAATATCCTGTGTATGTATATAACTTGTCTGTTCATTTTTGTTATTATATGACTTTACCCAAACTAGATTAAATTTCCATGAGAATAAATTTTTAAAATTTTGTTGTTTTTGGGGGGGGGGGAGTGGTGTTTCTGAATCGTCCTTTACAAGGTCTAAAATTCTCAGAATACTTCACCTGCTTCTAAATGCTTCAAGTAGGCCCATATTTCTTCCTTCTTGGTAATTCTCTCTCTCTCATTCTCTCTCTCTAAAAAAACACAAAAGCAACAACAACAAAACAAATTAAAATAAAAACAAATGCATACCACACCCCAAATATCTCAGATGACATTACCTCTGAACCTTGCTAGATAATTGGCTTATTAATTCAATTAAGATAATATTCATATAATTTGTATAGTGATGATATAAAGTAGTAATTATATAATTAATATATAAATAAAGTATACAAATAAAGTATAAAATTAACATAATAGTCTTATTCATTTAATTATTTTTTTGTATATGTTTGATATACTATTGTGTTGTATTCATTGGTATTATTAAACTTCTTGTACCGACACATTTCCACTTTTAATAACTACTGTCAATGACCCTAAATTAACCTTTGGGAACTTCAAGCCCTAAGGCAGGCAGATATTTTCTTGAGCAGTGGAAGTGAATGAATGTTACATTTGTGAATGGCAGTGATTTCCACACCCAGTGTGATACAAGAGCACTAAGGAGGGACAAATGGAATTCAGTTAATTAAGGCTTGTGGCAGGAAAGTCCTCATCTGATGCAGGCAGCCCCGAGGCTGCTAACTTTGTCCTATCAACAGACTAGCAGGGAGCCCTTCCTGAGGGGCTTTAAAAAGCATCTGAAGCCCACCTGGGTTGGTGGTTTACAAGTGAAAATGTGACAGGATGCACAGGAAGTTGGGAGTTGGAGTCAGAGATCTAAGCTTGAGTTATGATTCTGCCATATATGATCAGTGGGCATTTATGTCTTCATGAGTAGAATGGGACTAATCTCACCTCTTAGGATTTTTTTGTGAGGATTAAACTCTGGTTTAATGTGAAAATGTGAAAATGCCTAGCATCAGAACAAATGTTATGGTAGCTGATCAGAAACATTAGTCATATCTGGACCTCATCTTTTTAATTGCATTACTTTTCAAAGCTGTGAAGGCACAAGATCATGGCACGGCTAATGAACCTGGTGAAACCTTCATCTTCTTCATATTCCTACACAGGAATGACAGTTCTCAATTTACCAGAGTCCACACTCAGAATTGGGCTTCAAAAAGCTCACATGTCCATTGATCATGTAGATAAAGAAAAGGAATTAGCTTGTTTTTGTTGGTAAAGACAAGTATGAAAAGTGAGGTTTTTTTATGTCTAAACAAATATGCAGAAAATTACAGAGAAGAAAGTGAAGTTTGTGTATCTCAAGTTGAAGAATAGTAAAATGAGCCTTCATTTGCCACATTGATATTATTGAGAAGGAAATGGGATATGGATTTTTGATGATGGATATGAAAGGAGATTTCTAGGTAAATGGTGACAAACATGCAGAGCCAAAGGGTGAAAGCAGTGAAAGGATCTTGATCTGTACTCTTATTCAGTCACTGAGCTCCTGAAAAAACAGCATGTAAAATGAATCAATGACATGAAGGAAGAGCTCTGTGTTTAAAGGAAGAGCTTTAGGGGAGTTACATATAAAGCAAATATTCTTCTTTCACTTAGGTTGTTTGGCAAACATGGATTTTTTATATTAAATATGCTTTGAAAGCAGGGTAACCCTCTGTATACATAGAGAAGAAATAAGCACATGGAAATCAATAAATGTATTTTGGTGAGGATCTTGGATCCTATTGGCTCAAGATCCTATCCAATGGGATCCAACAGCACATTAAAAGGATTATTCACCATGACCAGGTGGGATTTATTCCTGGGATGCAAGAGTGGTTCAACATCCGCAAATCAATCAATGTGATACAATACATTAATAAAAGAAAGAACAAGAACCATATGATGCTCTCAATAGATGCAGAAAAAGCATTTGACAAAGTACAGTATCCTTTCTTGATTAAAACTCTTCAAAGTATAGTGATAGAGGGAACATATCTCAATATCATAAAAGCCATCTATGAAAAGCCCACAGAAAATATCATACTCAATGGGGAAAAACTGAGAGCTTTTCCCTTAAGATCAGGAACACGACAGGGATGCCCACTCTCACCACTATTGTTCAACATAGAGCTAGAAGTCCTAGCCTCAGCAATCAGACAACAAAAAGAAATAAAATGCATTCAAACTGGCAAAGAAGTCAAACTCTCTCTCTTTGCAGATGACATGATACTTTATGTGGAAAACCCAAAAGACTCCACCCCAAAATTGCTAGAACTCATACAATTCAGCAATGTGGCAGGATACAAAATCAATGCACAGAAATCAGTTGCATTTCTAAACACTAACAATGAGACAGAAGAAAAAGAAATTAAGGAATAGATCCCATTTACAATTGCAACAAAAACCATGAGATACCTAGGAATAAACCTAACCAAAGAGGTAAAAGTTCTGTACACTAGAAACTACAGAACACTTATGAAAGAAATTGAGGAAGACACAAAGAAATGGAAAAACAGTCCATGCTCATGGATTGGAAGAATAAACATTGTTAAAATGTCTATGCTGCCCAGAGCAATCTACACATTCAATGCAATCCCTATCAAAATACCATCAGCATTTTTCACAGAGCTGGAACAAACAATCCTAAAATTTGTATGGAACCAGGAAAGACCCTGAATAGCCAGGGGAATGTTGAAAAAGAAAACCAAAGCTGGGGGCATCACAATGCCTGACTTCAAGCTATATTACAAAGCTGTGATCATCAAGACAGCATGATACTCGCACAAAAACAGACACATAGATCAATGGAACAGAATAGAGAGCCCAGAAATGGACCCTCAACTCTATGGTCAACTAACCTTCAACAAAGCAGAAAGAATATTCAATGGAAAAAAGAGTCTCTTCAACAAATGGTGCTGGGAATATTGGACATCCACATGCAGAAGAATTAAACTGGACCATTCTCTCACACTATACACAAAGATAAACTCAAAATGGATGAAAGACCTAAATATGAGACAGGAATCCATCAAAATCCTAGAGGAGGAGACAGACAGCAAACTCTTCAACCTTGGACACAGCAACTTCTTGCTGTCTCTAAAGGTAAGGGAAACCAAGGCAAAAAAAATGAACTATTGGGTTCATCAAGATAAAAAGCTTCTGCACAGCAAAGGAAACAACAAAACTAAAGGCAACCTATGGAATGGGAGAAGATATTTGCAAATGACATTATAGATAAAGGGCTGGTATCCAAGATCTATAAAGAACTTCTCAAACTCAACACCCAAAAAAACAAATAATCCAGTCAAGAAATGGGAGAAGACATGAACAGACACTTCTCCAAAAAAGATATACAAATGGCTAACAAACACATGAAAAAAATGCTCCACATCACTTGCCACAGGGAAATACAAGTCAAAACCACAATGAGATACAACCTTATACCAGTTAGAATGGCTAAAATTAACAAGACAGGGAACAACAAATGTTGGTGAGGATATGGAGAAAGGGGAACCCTCTTACACTGTTGGTGGAAATGCAAGCTTGTACAGCCACTCTGGAAAACAGTATGGAGTTTCCTCAAGATGTTAAAAATAGAGCTACCCTACAACATAGCAATTACACTGCTGGGTATTTACTCTAAAGATACCGGTGTAGTGAAAAGAAGGGGCACTTGCACCCCGATGTTCATTTTTTTTTAGGGTTTTATTTATCTATTTGACAGAGAGAGAGAGACAGTGAGAGAGGGAACACAAGCAGAGGGAGTGGGAGAGAGAGAAGCAGGCTCCAGCTGAGCAAGGAGCCTGATGCAGGGCTCGCTCCCAGAACCCTGGGATCATGACCTGAGCTGAAGGCAGATGCTTAACGACTGAGCCACCCAGGTGCCCCTGTTGCACATGTTCTATGTAAACTTATACTATATCTGATAAGTGACACTCATACCTTTGGGCATGTCTTCCCTCTGCTGGAACTAAATTCACATGTAGGTATTTACTGACCAGCCGAATACCACAATTAGTACTGCCAAATCTCAATTTTACTTGTTTTTTTTTTTTTTTATTTGGTTAGACAATTGTGATAGCACATTCAGATAAAAATATTAAGGAAAAATTCATGTATAATCTTGTCACTCTATTATGATGACCTCTTTTTAAATTTGTTTTATTTTCACATCCTTTCCCATTCCTTTCCAATTTTATATAAAGACAATGATTAGGATATTTTTCAACCATAGGACTCTCCTCACTCTGCTGGTAATTCAGAGAGGCCTTTGGGGGAAAGTGTAGCAGGATTCAACACACAGTGATGGAGGCAATTTGAGCTAACAGTGCAGATAAATAGAATTGAATTCTACTGAAACATCTTTCTGTTTTAATAATTTTCAAAAATACATGGAAGATTTATTGTATTTCTTCCAATAATAGCACTTATTCATGAGAGTTTTGTGTTCATATGCATCAGGTGTTTGCTTTGTTTTGTATTTTTTTTTTTTACCATTTACTCTGTTTACTTTTTTATTCTTAGGACTACCCAAATACTTTGTCCATACTCACACATTCTCATTTTATTCTTGATTTTTATAGTGATAGTACATAGGTAAAATAAAGCCCCTTAAGGTAGTCCAGGACATATTGCATCTTGCAATACCTAATCATTTTTCACTTCCCCTACAAATTCCTAATATCATTAAACTCAGTTAAGAGTCCCCAGTAAATTGTACCTTACTCTATATTTTTGAAAATTAAATATTTGAAGAGCTAGCTCCTAAAAAAAAACAGTGACAGATTATAGAACACGAATAGATGTTGGTGTTATTTTTGCAAAAAGATGATCGATAACAATGAGAAAGAGTGGCCAAGAGACAGGACTCTGGAATCTGAGGAACTTTTCCAGAAACAAAGGAAGAGCCTCATCAAGAAATGTATATATTAACTTGAGAAAAAAGCCCACTGTGTTTGACTATGCATCCCTATTCATACAAATGTTTTAGGTTATTCCCCCCAAAAATGTATGTATTTATTTATAATACATGTACAATCGTACTAATATACTATGTATCATAGAATATACACAAAGCAGAAATTAAATGTAAGTTAATGTAAATACCATCCTAATAATCTCATTGTGCACCCTA